GATTGAGGGGGAAGAAGTGTCCATCGTAATAGGCCAGACACCAAGTCTCGGGGGAACGTCGCAAGGTGGGGCACCTGAGGCGGCCTAGGTACAGACAGCGTACCGCTCGTGACCAGGGAACGTAGTGGTGACGCCGAGGTCCTGAAGAGAGTCGACACCAACTAGGTTCCTGGAGAATGAAGGGATATGCAGGCCTGTAAGAGAACCCGAGGGAAACGCTGGATAGGGAAGGGTGGTGTAGCTACGGGCAACGAGAGGACCAAAGGAGGGATCAGCAAGTGCGACAACGGCAGGCGCTGCAAGCGGCATGAGTGTGGGGTGGTCGCAAAAGAAGCAGGCAGATGCACCAGATTCAAGCGTTATGGACAGCGAGGCAGAAGCTGCGGCCGGAGAAGGAGCGAGCGTGGAGCCTAGGCTAGACAGAAGGTCTTACGCCTGACGCAGCAGGGAAGTCTATACCACAAACAGGTACTACACTAGATAACACATGGTAATACGATCTGGGCACACTAGAAGCATCAGCATACAGAAAATGCAGGGCATAACAAATCTGATCAATGTCTAGCTCAAAGATAGGCACACCACTGCGCAGCAGACTGAGCCAGTCAGGGAGGTTCGGGGCCGGGCCGAAGCGGGAACGAAAGAGGTCGTCAAGGCGGCAGATGCAGTGGGTGGTCGGGTGCTGGCGAGGACACACAATGTCGCGGAGGGGGCCGGTCTGGAGCTAGTACTTGCAGCTCACAACACCGAAGCTACCGGCCGACGCCGTTTGCGAGGGCCGCCACCGCGGCCACCACCGCCAGAGGCTCCTGGCCACCCCGGCGGGAGGCGGGCCCACGACTGCTGCTGCTGCTATGGCTGCTGTTGCGGCGGCTGCGGCTGCTGCTGCTCCTGGACACTAGCCCTGATCCCCTCATCCGACCCACTGTCTGCGCCGCCACCACCACCACCACCACCACCACCACCCCCGACACCACGCCCCCCCTTGGGGCCACGATGGCCCCAACGTGGGTGTGGCTGCGGGGACGCCGCAGCTGTGGTGACGCCACAGCTGCGGTCTCAGCGGCAGGGGCAGTCGCGGTGACCGCGGCTGAAACGTCAGCGTATGCACACTGGGAGGGCGCACATCCCTGAAAGATAGGGACCGCCACAGTGCCGCTTGACTGAACGATAATGTGACCTGGGCGGTGACTGAAGATAGGGCGGTGACAAAGGCGGTAAGGGTAAGGTCACCTGGGTGCTGACTAAGGAAGTGGTCGCGGGCAATGGCTAAGCGGTCCGGAAGGCGCATGGCAATGAGGTACAGGGTAGCGCAAAACGGCGGGGGGAAGGCAGTGAGCTATGCGTTAGTGCTAGCAGCGCGGTAGTTAGCCTCTAGTGCACGGAGGTGAGTGGCTAGGTCAGCGATAGTGGGGAAAGCAACAAGATCACGGAACAGCATAGGGAGGATCCGGCGGCCAGCAGTAGCGGAGGCGAGCGTGGAGTAACACGCAACTACTGCATCTAAAACATCATGGGCATTCGCGAGAGCAGTGAAGCGTGGACGCTCAGACAGGGGAAGAGCATGACTAATGGCTAGCTCCGCTATGGCATCACGGGAATCCTAGACAGCGTGAGCAAGCGCAGTAGCAGAAAAGGGTTCACGCTGAAAAGTGGTGTGGGGTCAGGGAGGGGATCAGGCACGGGGGGGCGGGGAAGCAAGCCATCAACATGTACAGCCAGGGAGTGCCCGTCCTGGTGCTGACCTGTGAGGTGACGGCGTAGATCGACAAGCCAGGCGGCAAAGTCGATCGCGTGCCCCTCCGCGTCCAGGCGAAGTACAGTATCCGCCATCGTGCGACCTTAGCGACACAGCTCCATGGCGGCTCGGCGGCAAAGTGACACGGTGGCATAGCTACACAGTGGCATAGCGACACAACGGCACAGCTACACAGCAGCACAGCGGCGCGTCGGCAGAACTTCTCGGCAGGAAAGGCCGAGCGGAGGGCCGAGCGAGGCTCACAGGGCCAGCGGCGCTTAGAAGGGCCGGCTGGGGCTCACGGGGCCAGCAGAGCGCAACGGGCCGACAGAGCGCGAAGAAGGCCGGCGAGGTGCGATGGGCCGGTGGGGCTCGAAAGGGGTGGCAGGGCGCTAGGGCCAGGCGGGGCGCGGAAGGGACCAGCGGGGCGTGAGGGCCGGGTGGGGCGCGAGGGGCCGGCAGGGCGCGTAAGGGACCAGCAGGGCTCGAGGGGCCGGCGAGGCACGAAGGGACCAGTGGGCGCGTGAGGGGTCGGCGGGGCGCTAAGGGCCGGCGAGGCGCTAGGGCCAGGCGGGGTGCGAGGGCTGGGCGGGGTGCGAGGGGACGGCGGGGTGCGTAAGGGACCAGCGGGGCACGAGGGGTCGGCAGGGCGCTAAGGGCCGGTGTGGCGCTAGGGCCAAGCAGGGCGCACGAGGGACTAGCGGGGCACGAGGGCCGGGCGGGGCGCGAGGGGCCGGCGGGGCGCAAAAGGGACCAGGGGGACACGAGGGGACGGCATGGTGCTAAGGGACCAGCGGGCCCGCGAGGGTTCGGCGGGGAGCTAAGGGCTGGCAGTGCGCTAGGTCCAGGCGGGGCGCTGAGGACTAGCGGGGTGCGCGAACGGAACGGCGGGGCGCTAGGCTAGGGCGAGGGTGGAAGCGGGTGGGCGGACCTTACCTACTATGATACCATCTCAGAGTAGCTGAATGACTAGAAATGAGAGTACATGGGGGTTTCAACCTAAAATGTTGTACTCGCTAAGGCATGACCCCATCTAGTCTACAGCAACATATACAAATATGTTTGACAGTAGGCTGGAAAAATCAAAATGAATTTGGGTTGTAGCAGGCACTTTGAGGCCATAACTTCACCGAGCAACTGCTAATGAGGAAGCTGCTACAGAGATCGCACACTCTGACAGGGTCAATTCGGTTCGGTGCCTCTGAAAATGTTGGGAGATTGATCCAGCAGCAGTGTCAGGTGCCCTTAACCAATCTCATATGAGTGCTGTGAACAGAGTCAGTTCCGTGCCTCGGAAAGCAATCGAGATATTCTTGACTATTGCTGACGTGATCGAGGTGGTTCAACTGCAACATGGACGGTCGTGTCGTGGCACTGGGATAACCCTGTCGATCCTCTCTCTATCTCTAGGGAGGGTACTGGGGATGCTTTCCTCGGGGAAGGTGGATATATGGAGCCTAACCCTTCTGATGACATCCCTTTTTGTCCCAGAGGTTAGGACTGGTGAATTGCAAGGCATGGAGGAGTTATATCTTGTAGGTTACATGCAAGGCAATTATCTAGCTATGAGGCAGGCCTTGGCCGGCGAAAGCGAGCGAGTGTGTGCCGCGGCGAAGATATTGGGTGCCGTGGGTGAGTGGGATATGGGCTACTATCTCCGGCACCCATACACGGGGTGCTAGCTGGAGGAGTGGCCACCACGATGCGCCGGGCCATTCGGGGATGACCAATGTTAGCTCAGCACGTGTGGGTGGTGAATGTCCGGAGTGCCCAAAGGATGCCTTCGAGTTCCGTGAGAGTGCTGGAGGTGGGCACGAGCTCTTCTGGCATGCGATCGCTGGCCTCAATGTGCGTGCCAGGGAGTTGAGTGAGGGTGGCACCCCAGCTGTGGGCACTTGCATCAACGTGGATGACCACGTTGTATTGGTGACTGAGATGGAATGGGGTGCCATTGAATTGGTCAAACTGCGAAAGCCAGAAGCGTAGCTATGTTAATGCGGCCAGAGGTAGTTGGGCTTTGTCATGCCAAGACGTGGCATCGGCGATGAGTCGCAGGAGCTCATGATTGAAGGCTCGTGCTGTGGCGCCCAATGCTAGGGTCATGGAGGCCAACATGCCAGTGACTCGCGCAAGGGAGCGGATGGGGACTCGTCGTCTTGCTTGGCCCTGGGTGATGATGTCAGTGAGTGTGGCCAGGAGCTGAGCTCGTCGTTCATGACCGTTGGAGAACGTGCCGCAAGCTGCGTCGACCTCCAGGCCGAGGAAGTGGATCAGTCGCGTGGGGTGGAGATGCAATTTTTTTCCGTTGATAACAAAACCAGTCGCCTCTAGGTCTTGGGTAACTGCGGCGCATGCTGAGCGCGCATGCGTTTGAGAGTTGCAAAGGAATAGAAGGTCGTCGACGTTTGGGACAACGCGTAGGCCACTGGCCCTCCACCGCTTTGCCAACTGTTTGATCAGTTGGGTGAAAACGAATGGAGCCGTGACGAGACCAAACGGCAGCGAGTGGAAGGAGTAGTATGTGCCCTCAAATTGGAAGCCCAAATACTTCCAACAGGGGGGGTGCATCTTGACGTGGTGATAGCCAGACTTCAGGTCGATGGAGAACATCTTGTCGCCGGGATGGATGAGTTCGGCTACCCGGTTCAGGCTTTCATACCTGAACTTTGGAATTTCGAGGTGGGCGTTGACTTTGCGAAGGTCGAGAATGAGGCGGCATTTTTTGTGCTGCTTGAAGACGTTCAGCTGACTAACGCGGGTTAGCATATCTCGTGTAGGGACTGGCTCGGCAGAGCCAGTGGCAACAAGTTCTTGAATTTCTTCGCGAGTGAAGTCGAGATGCGTGTGAACGCCGGCATGGTTCTTATCGTTGAAGGAGGGAGGGGCTGTGTGCTTCCAGGGCAGCCAATGCCCTTTGGTGATTATTGATATGATGAAACTGCTATCGCACCACGAGCACCACCAATGCAGGGCCTGGCGCAGTCGGTTTCGCATGATCGAGATGTTCTTGTCCATGACAGAGTATTCGTAGGGGTCGTGTCGGTCACGTGGCCACCCGTGTTCGGATCTTGCCGAGTTCGGGGTCAAGAGGGGAGATGCGCATTGCAATGAGGTGTTGGTGCCAAATCGGGCAGCTGGTGATCGTTTATTACCTTCCACATGGCTGGGCCAACGCCTATCTTGGGAAACGCTTCCATGTGTCCTTCCCAATGTGCGTGATTTCCTCTTCGTGCTCTTTTACTCCTCTCCATTTTACCCCCTCCCTCTCTCTCTCGCTCATTCTCTCACACTCTCTCCCTCAGTTTTTCTTTCTCTCTCTCTCTTCTCTCTCTCTTTCTCTCTCTCTCTCTATCTCTCTCTCTCTCTCTCTCTCTCTCTCTCTCTCTCTCTCTCTCTCTCTCTCTCTCTCTCTCTCTCTCTTTCTCTCTCTCTCTCTCTCTCTCTCTCTCTCTCTCTCTCTCTCTCTCTCTCTCTCGTTCTCTCTCGCTCTCTCTCTCTCTCTCTCTCTCTCTCTCTCTCTCTCTCTCTCTCTCTCTCTCTCTCTCTCTCTCTCTCTCTCTCTCTCTCTCTCTCTCTCTCTCTCTCTCTCTCTCTCCCTTTCTCCCTTCTTTCGCAGCTCCTTCTTTCTTGCCATAATGCTTTTGTGCCATGTCCTTAGTGGGCTTGCTCGTAGCCACTCGTTTTCTTGGGTGGCATACCGTGGTATGTTTGTGGGTCCCTCTCCGCTCTCTCGTACTCTCTCTCCATTTTTTTCTTTTTCTTTGAGCCTCCTTATACGCATTATGGCAGCTGCTCAATGTGTTCTCATGTGGCTTGGCTTTCCAACCCCTTTGTCAAGCATACTTGGGTTTCTTTCTTTCTTTCTTTCTTTTTCAACTAGAAATCAACTTGCCGTGGCGACACACAAACATAATTACATGGTTCTACCATGGTCCTAGGCACATGGCCTACGCATCCCCTAGGGCAGCCCTAGCCTGCTAGGTTTCCTTGCCTTGCTCGAAGGCTAGCCACCGGCCATGCACCCACCGGTGCGGCCCCATATGCCACTTGCATATGGGCAAAGGGCGCCGCCCTTGAAGAAAAAACGCTCACACGACCGGTGAGGGGCATTGCGCACCACGCCCGTCCATGGGGCATGCATTTGCAATGTGACCCGGCTGGCCGCAACGGAAACACACGCCCTTGAAATGCGGCTGCGAGCATGTGAGGGGGGGGGGAGCCCTTGGTGTCCATTTCCCTGTCACGACCGTAGGGGGGACCGCCATGGGTGTAACCGGTGCGCACGCACTTGAGTGCCGCGACATCAGCAACCGCGAGCTTGAAGGAGCATGAAGTCAAGACGCTCTTGGACTGGTAGAGCTGAAAACGGTCGGCCGCTTCGAAGCCGGCTTTGTTCGCCACTTGAAGAATGCAGGGCAGAACTAATCTGATCCATGTCTAACTCAAACACAGGCACACCGTGGCACAGCAGTCTAGGCCAGTCAGGGAGGTCCGAGGCCAGGCCAAAGCGGTGACAAAAGAGGTCGTCGAGGCGGCAGAAGCAGTGGGCGGTCGGGTGCAGGCGACGAAACATAGTGCTACGGAGCAGGCCGGTCTGGAGCTGGTACTGGCAGCTCACAGCACCGAAGCTGCCGGCCGATGCCGAGCTGCGAGGGCCGCCATCGCGGCCACCACCTCCAGAGGCTCCTGGCCACCCCGGCGGGAGGCGGGCCCACGATTGCTGCTGCGGCTGCGGCTGCTGCTGCTGCGACGGCTGCGGCTGCTGCTGCTCCTAGGCACCAGCCCCGATCCCCTCGTCAGACCCACTCTCCCCGCCACCACCACCACCCCCACCACCCCCACCACCACGCCCCCCCTTGGGACCACGACGGCCACGACGCGGGCGCAGCTGCGGGGAGGCCGCAGCTGTAGTCTCAGCAGCATGGGCAGTTGCAGCGACCATGGCTGAAAATTCAGCGTACGTGCATTGGGAGGGCGCACAACCCTGAAAGATAGGGACTGCCGTAGCATTGCTCAACTGAGCGATAGTGCGTTGGCGAGTCTCTATCTCAGACAGGGCGGTGACAAAGGTGGTAAGCGTGAGGTCACCTGGGTGCTGACTAAGGAAGTGGTCGCGGGCAGTTGCTAAGCGGTCCGGAAGGCGCATGGCAATAAGGTACAGGGTAGCGCAAAACAGCGGGGGGGAGGTAGTGATCTGAGCGTCAGTGCTAGCGGCGCGGTAGCTAGCCTCTAGTGCACGGAGGTGAGTGGCTAGGTCAGCGACTGTGGGGAAAGCGGCAAGATCAGGGAACAGCATAGGGAGGATCAGGCGGCCAGCAGAGGCACAGGTGGGCGTGGAGTAGCACTCAACTACTACATCTAAGAAATCCTGGGCATTCGCCACAGCGATGAAGCGCGGACGCTCAGACAGTGGAAGAGCATGACTAATGGCTAGCTGCGCGACGACATCGCAGGAATCCCAGACAGCGCGAGCAAGTGCAGCAGCAGAAAAGGCCTTACGCTGAGCAGTGGTGGGGTCAGCAGGTAGGCGATCAGGCGCGGGGGGGCGGGGAAGCAAGCCATCAACATGCACAGCCAGGGAGTGCTGATCCTGGCGCTGACCTGTGAGGTGACGGCGGAGATCGAAAAGCCAGGCGGCGAATTCGATCACGTGCCCCTTCGCGTCCAGGCGGAGTGCAGCGTCCGCCATCGTGCGACCTCAGCGTCACAGCTCCACGGCGGCACGGTGGCACAGCGACACGGCGGCACAGTGGCACAGCGACACAGCGGCACAGCAGCACAGCTACTCAGAGGCACAGCAACACAGCGACACAGCTACACAGCGGAACGGCGACACAGCTACACAGTTGCACAGCGACACGGCGGCAAAATTCTCCGGCGGGAAGACCGAGCGGAAGGCCGAGCGGGGGACACAGTGCCAGCAGAGCGCGTAGAAGGCCAGGGACCAGCGGGGCTCGAGGGGGCTGGCGAGGCGCTAAGGGACCAGCGGGCGCTCAAGGGGCCGGCGGAGCGCAGGAGGGACCAGCAGGGCGCGAGGGCCGAGCGGGGCGCGAGGGGCCGGCGGGGCGCGTAAGGGACCAGCGGGGGCGCTAAGGGACCAGCGGACGCTCGAGGGGCCAGCGGGGCGCTAAGGGCCGGCGGGGCGCAGAAGGGACCAGCAGGGCGTGAGGGCCGGGCGGTGCGCGTAAGGGACCAGCCGGGCTCGCGCGGGGTCGGCGGGGCTTTAAGGGCCGATGGGGCACATAGGGGACCAGCTGGGCACTAAGGGCCGGCGGGACGCACAAGTGACCAGCGGGGCGCTAAGGGCCGGCGAGGCTCGTAGGGGGCCAGCGGGGCGAAAGGGGGTTGGCGGGGCGCTCAGGGCCGGCGGGGCGCAAGAGTTAGGTGGGGCGCACTAACTGGTCCGGCGGGGCGCGAAGCACCAGCGGGGCGCACAAAGGCCAACGGGGCGCGCTACAGGAACGACGGGGCGGTAGGTTAGGGCGAGGGCGGAAGCAGGTGGGCAGACCTAACCTACTATGATACCATGTTAGAATAGCGGAATGAATAGAACAAGGCAGTACAGGGGAGGATATAGGGTTGGAGTTGTACCCTCTATGAACACAAACCTATCTAGCCTATAACTTCTACATATAAATATATGTATAAGTTGACATGGAACATCTCTGGGAGCTGGTCGTCGATGCGCGGGGCCTTTGGGGCACGAGGAGGCATCGCCATTTCTTTTTTTTCGCCAAATTAATCGTAGAAGTGTCGATATTGTCGGAAGAAGTGCCGAGCGTAACAGGCGCCTGCTGCTGTAAAAGCGCGAAAAGCGCCTGGAGCTGCTGCATGGTCAAAGCGGGAACAGTTGCAGGTGGGGCGAGCTCCTCGGCAGGCGCGTGACGAACGGTGGGGCCCGCCTAGGCATCGGGCGGCGGGGCGCGGCTCGGCAGCATGTGGACCTTGGTTGACTGCGCGTGTTTCTTCGGGGGTGGCGTGAATTGCACCCACCAGAACGTCGACACCCGAAGTCCCCTCGTCAAAATTGTCCTCAGCGGGACGTTTTTGGCGACGGTCGGTTACCCGGTCCGAAGTTTCGGGATCGTCGATATTTGCGGGGGTGGACTGGTTGTTCGCCTCGCGAGTTGGCGTGGAATTGGCAGGAGTCATTGCCGATAGGTTGTGCTGCTAAATATCAGTTAGTGATGTCGATGGTGCCTTGAAGCTTGGAAGTGATTGAGTTTTCGCCTGGTTGGATGAGAACAAAAAAGAACTAGGAACTCAAATCAGGGAAACTCAAATGAGTTGAACTAGAAATGAAGAACGTGGGTGAGGCCGAGAGGCCTCACGTTCCTATTTTGAATCCAAGCGAGGATTAGGTGCGCTTCGCCGCTGCCTTTGCTGCGTTGGCCCTTGCTACAGTATCACAATACACATTTTTAGAAAGCGTTACACGCTTTCAAAAAAATACATTTTTCATCCTCCTTGCTTTTTGCAGTTGATCAGACATAGGTAATGAAGGACCAAACATTGTTTGAAGGCAAGAAAAACAAACAGGGTGTTATGTAAAATGCAAACCTAGAAAAGCGGGTACTCTAAAAATGCGCCATATCATAAGCTGTCCCCCGCATATGCCACCCATGGGCTGACTATTTCGGCGGGTCTTATATACGGTGGATTACTAATAGAACATGAGAATGACTAGAAACAAGAGAGTACAGGGCAGATATAGGGTTGGAGTTGTACTTTCTAATAACACAAACCTATCTAGCCTATAACTTCTACATACAAATATATGTATAAGTTGACACACCCCCTAGGCTAGATAAGGGGCAGTGCTGAGCAAGAAACACGCAGCTCAGGGTGGCACTACTAGTCCAACCTCTAAGGAAGGGGTCAAAAGACCAGTCAGCAAGAGTACAAACAAGACAAGAGCAAACCAGGGAGGCACTACTAGTCCGGCTGCTGGAAGAAGCCACAAGGCCAGTCTGGAAGGTATACGTAAAGAGGAGTACACAATCAAGGATATAGCAAGTGAGAATTTACACGAACTAGACCAAGCTGCAAACAGTGTCGCTGATGATCTTTAGACGCAAGCACCTCAGTAAAGATATCAGCTGTGTTGGCACCGGAGGCCAGGTGTACTACGCGGGCCTGGCGGTGCTCCTGTAGCTCACGCAGGAGGAAGTAGCGCAGCTGGATGTGATTCGCTCTGCCCTCAAGTCGAGGCTCCTGACATAGGAGAATCATGGCCCTGTTGTTAGCGTACAGAACCGGGGCACAGCTAGGCCGCTCACCTAAGTCGATGAGCAAGAAGGTCAGCCAGCGGAGCTCCTATGCCACCATGGCACCGGCGTAGATCTCAGCCTTACAGCTAGACTGGGCAACAGACGACGAGCAAGTGGGTCTCCACGAGATGGCACCCGAACCAAGGCTAAAGCAGTAGCCCTGGGAGGACCCGAGGGACTCAGCATCGTCTGCACAAGAAGCGTCTGTGTGCCCAGTGAGGACCACTGGCCTGCGTCCTCCCAGCACTAGCCCCATGCCCGATGTGCTTCCTAGATAATGCAAAACCCTCTTTGCGGCCGACCAGTGCTATGGTCGGTGTCTGCTTGTGGCCACAAAGTGAGCCAGGATGCTGAGAGGGTATACAAGATCTGGACGCGTGCAAGTCATCAGGCACATGAGGTAACCCACCAGCTCTGCGTAAGGACCATTGGGCTCTACTGACTCCTCGGGAACTGGAGCTGAGAGCCTGTGGTCTACTGGTGGAGGTGTGGGCTGTACGGAGGAGAACTGAAGATCGAACCTCTGAAGGACCTGGCGCAC